CTTTAATCTTTTGTGCTAGATCCAACATTAGTTAATGTTTGCATCATGATCCCAATTGCTTCAGTTCACTCAACAAGATCTTTTAATTTTATTTTTATATAGCTTCCCATTTACAAAAAAGAATAGTAGGCTATTTTATATGCTTTTTTAAAAAAATTATGCCAAAACAATCAATAATCCTGACATAAAGCTTTACAGGAATCCCTTAATATGAATAACGAACTATCAATAGTTAAATTAGTTTGGAAAAAGCTCTTTAATACATTTCAATTTAATATTCTGTTGCAATAATACTGGACTTTTCAGCCTCCACCTTTTCAAATCAGAGGTTTTTCTGAGCAATCTTGCAATTATTGGATGACTATCTGCATATGTAAATGCTGCAACTTCCATGTCTATAAATTACATTAATAATGAGCTATAATACATGTCTTTCCTTGAGTAAGTTATATATATATATATGTATATGTATATGCATATGTATATGTATACATTTAGCTGATAAAGAAATAAAGGGAGACTAGTATAGATCTATTTCAAGCTATTTAGCTCTCATCAGCTAGCGATAGATAGATAGATAGATAGATAGATAGATAGATAGATAGATAGATAGGATATTTTCAGGAAGTTTACTAGAATTAGTAAACTAAGTTTATCAAGATTTATTTTATTTTATTTTATTTTATTTTTCAATTTATATACCGCCCTTCTCCCTGAGGACTCAGGGCGGTGCACAGCCAGAATTAAAAACATGAAATACAAATATTAAAAACAATTAAAATCTATATAAATTTGGCCCAAAATTTAAAAAACCACAAACCAATTAAACATTTAAAAATTTTAAAAGATAGTGGGGGAAATCATTCATATAAAAATTATTCATATCTCCAAGAATCAAAATGTTTCCTTCTTCAATTTTAAGTAGTGATTTTTTTTAAAAAAAAAAATCACACAATTTTGTTTTGCTATTGTTTCCAACATAAATTAAAGCAGTTGTAATTTTGTACTTGCAATAATAATAAATCTTTCAACATAACAAATTTCTTTAAGTTTCCTGTAAGTTTCTGATGTTCTAATCCATTCTTCTTCTTTCCACCACAGACCACAATTTTTTACCTAAATGGTTACTTTTCACCATATTAACATTGTCTTTTGAAATATATTTCTCTTGAAACCATGTAACATCTGCATTTACTTCTTTGATTTTTTTAAAAAAAAATCTTTTTCCTTTTCAATGGGCTTTTTAGTCAATTTGTTGAGAATATTTCAATTTGATTCATAATGATAATTATCAGTAAAACATATGAAAGAAAAACTGCTGCCTGAATCAATTTTTGGTCTGTCTATTTCTGTCTTATTCTGTTGCTGTTAATGGTTCATGCATTTTATAAGCTTCTCTGTTGAATATATAAAGGCTCTAGGTCACATTTTTAAAGGGCCTTGGGTAATTTATTTTAACAATTATATATATAATCTATCCATTAGTGAATGATGCATACAAAATTTCAGTGTTAGAAATAATATTTTCTATAGATGTTATTTAATCCTTTTAAAACCTATCAGATGTGAATATTTCCTTTTTTAAATTGGATCATAATCTATATATTCCTAATCATTGAAATGGGGAGTGGGATTATTTCCTGTTGTTGGTAGCATCTACAACATGGGTGTCAAACTCGCCATATCACATTGCCGTCACGTGATGTTTCTCGATGTCTTTCCCATTCGTGAAGCTGGGGTGGGCGTGGCCTGCGTGTGACGCATCCAACCTGCGGGCTGACAGTTTAACACTCCTGATCTACAATAATCTCTTAATCTTTCACAGGCCTGTTGTGCAATAATTATACATGTAGTCCTCATTTAGTCATTACTCATTTATCAAACATTCTAGTTATAGTTTTGGTATTAAAGTGGCATTAGTCCCTGTGATAAATTGTATCCATTGGAAAGGTGGCAGGGAGAATGCTAATCTCGATATATTTTTAATACCCTCAACCATGGCACAGAAGACAGGTTGATAAAGTGAGTCAATGTTAGCATGAGGGAAAGCTGGACTCCGCTCCATCAGCTACAGCAGGGGTGTCAAACTCACATCATCACAGCATCGTCACATGGCGTATCGTGACTTTTTTCCCCCTGCGCTAAACTGGGTATGGGAATGGCCAGCATGTGATGCACCGGGCTGCGAGTTTGACACTCCTGTGCTATAGAATCCCACAAAATTCCATTTTATTTTCCATGCTCATTTTACCTCTTGGGATTTAGAATGGGGTGATATTCCTATGCTAATTTTTTTTTCTTATTTTTGCTATATAAAAATTAGCAATGGTTTCAATGTCTATATAAACAGTGTGTTGTCTGGTTACAGTTAGTTTACTGAACAACTAAACAAACTAAAAAAAAACTTCTTATGCTAAATTCTTATTCCCCCTTCTGCCAGGAGTGCCTATAACAGTGATGGCGAAACTTTTCGGCACCAAGTGCCCAAACTGGAACCTGCGCATGGGCGATGGAGCGATGGAAACCTGAAGACCAGCTGGCTGGTGCACATGCGTGCACCAGCCAACTGGTCTTTGGGTTTCTGGCAATGCATGCCCTGGAAGCCAGAAGAGCAGCTGGCAATGACGCGCGTGCCCACAGAGAGGGCTCTGCATGCCACCTCTGGCACACGTGCCATAGGTTCGCCATCACGGGCCTATAAAGATTGTGATGTCTAGGCTCTGTAAAGTTCTATAAATTGATTACAGATAGTCTTCAGCCTATGACCACAATTCAACCCAACATTTCTGTTGTTCAGTGAGACATTTGTTATGTGAATTTTGCCCTATTTTATGACCTTTCTTGCCCCAGTTGTTAAGCGAATCTCACTGCAATGGTTAAGTTAGTGATATAGTTTGTTTGTTTTTTTATCTAATTTATATACCGCCCTACTCCTGAAGGACTCAAGGCGGTGAACAGCCACAAGATAAAAATACATCATACAAAAGTTAAAACCATTTAAAAGTACATTAAATAATTTTGGCCCCCAAAAAAACGAATTTAAAAACACCCAATTTGTATAAAACTTAAGAGCAAATTAGAAGGGAGAGTCAAGCCAGACCAGCCTGCTGGAATAAAAATGTTTTGAGGGCACGGCAGAAAGTGCGTAAATCTGGGATCCTCCGTATCTCTGGGGGGAGCTCATTCCAGATGGCAGGTGCCCCCACAGAGAAGACTCTCCCCCTGGGGGCTGCCAGTCGACACTGTTTGGCCGACGGCACCCTGAGGAGCCCCTCTCTATGGGAGCGCACTGGTCGGTGAGAGGCTACTGGTGGCAGAAGGCGGTCTCGTAAGTACCCTGGTCCTAAGCCATGGAGCGCTCTAAAGGTGGTGACCAAAACCTTGAAGCGCACCCAGAAGACCACCAGGAGCCAGTGCAGCTCGCGCAGGAGGGGAGTCACATGGGAGCGCCACGTCGCTCCCATAACCACCCATGCGGCTGCATTCTGGACCAGCTGGAGACTCCGGGTGCTCCTCAAGGGGAGCTCCATGTAGAGAGCATTACAGTAGTCCAGGCATGAGGTGACGAGGGCATGAGTGACCGTATGTAACAAGTCCCGATCCAGAAAGGGACGCAACTGGTGAATCAGGCGGACCTGATAAAAAGTCCTCCCGGCCACAACCGTCAAATGCTCTTCTAAAGACAGCCATGAGTCCAGGAGGACACCCAAGTGGTGAGCCCTATCTGTGGGGGCCAACGACTCGCCCCCAATAGTCAGTGATGGCACCAACTGACTATATCAGGGTGTTGGAAACCACAGCCACTCGGTCTTGGATGGATTGAGTCTGAGTCTGTTTCTCCCCATCCAGATCCGCACGGCCTCCAGGCACTGGGACATCACTTCAAGGGCATCATTGGGGTGATCTGGGGTGGAGATGTACAGCTGAGTGTCATCAGCGTACTGGTGGTACTTCACCCCGAAACCACGGATGATCTCACCCAGCGGCTTCACATAAATGTTGAACAGAAGGGGAGAGAGGACCGATCCTTGTGGCACCCCACATACAAGGGGCCTCGGGGTCAACCTCTGCCCCCCTGTCAACACAGACTGTGACTGGTTGGAGAGAAAGGAGGAAAACCACCACAACACGGTGCCTCCCACCCCCAACCCTTCCAACCGGTGCAGCATGATACCATGGTCAATGGTATCAAAAGCCGCTGAGAGGTCTAACAGGACCAGGACAGAGGAGCAACCCTGTCCCGAGCCCTCCAGAGATCATCAACCAATGCGACCAATGCCGTTTCGGTGCTGTACCCAGGCCTGAAGCCCGACTGGAAGTTGTTAAGTGAATCTGGCTTCCCCATTGACTTTGCTTGTCAGAAGGTTGAAAAAGGTGGTCACATGAGCCCAGGATACTGCAACCATCATAAATATGAACCAGTTGTCAAGTGTCTGAATTTTGATCACATGACCTAGGGAAGAATTCCCTTCCCTAAATAAATATGTGTTTCTGTTCATTATGTAGTAACTAGGTCAATATTCTTGTATATAGCAATAGCACTTAGACTTATATACCACTTCATAGTGCTTTACAGCCCTCTCTAAGGGGTTTACAGAGTCAGCATATTGCCCCCAACAATCTGGGTCCTCATTTTACTGACCTTGGCAGGATGGAAGGCTGAGTCAACCTTGAGAATTGGTGAGAATTGAAGCCCTGGCAGTGAGGAGTGAGTAAGCACTGCACGACCACGCCCCCATCTGTAGACAACCTCTCTGCAACCTCAGGTGCAGTTGTCATTATTATTAGTAAGTTTTCAATATTAGATCAAAAGGTTGTGAACTGGCTTTGGACTAATTGTCCCCGTGGATTTTTGAAGCTTGGAGTTGTAATTTTACAACTATCTTTTGTTATTCTAATTATGTTGTTTTGTAGATATATGATCGTTTCCCCCATTTATTTTCTTTTGATGAGTAGCGGTTTATGAATTCCCAAAATAATGATCAATCTTATTCTTATCAACATGTAAAATGTTTAATTTGCTTATTGGTGAAGAGCAGTTGTAAGTGCAACTACAATAACATCAACAATAACAACACATGGGTCATCAGAAAATGTCTTTCATGACATGGTTAACTTGACAGCAACTTGTTGGAGATTCTGTTTTGATGAAGATTCATTGTCTGGGGATCATAATATACTGCTTCTGTTCTGATGTCAGAATTTGTCTTGATAGAGAGATGAAAGAAAATATTCAGCAACAGATGCAAGGCTACTGAAACAGTAGGTTTGTATTTAATCCACAGAAGTACCAGTTTGATAGCATCATGTAAACCCAGTCAATAACTCCTTTTGGGATATAAAATACGCAGTGAGTTATGGTGGAGTTACACGATGCTGACAAGAGGTTATAGCAATGTTTAGCAATAACAGTACTGCTAATTACATTGCTATAATAAATAACACTATTACTTCCTCTCTAGCATAACATATCCTTATGGCACTGTAAACACAGATAACACAGCCATTCAAATTTCTCTTCTGACACATGATAATACAGTGAAAACCCAGCCTCAGAAGCTGCAAAGATGTTTGGTCTAAAATACTTTTTCAGCTGAATGGTCCTGAAGAAATCGGAGATGGCGTAATTTTATTCAGCCTCTTGAAGTTATGCAAAAAGGTTGTGTGTCTTTTTTTTTTTTTTTTTTTTAGATATCTGGAAGTTAAGTAATGGCAACTGAACTTTAAAAAAAATTAAACAGCTCTTGGTGCTTCTCCCAGGCACTTCCTCAAATTTAGCCTATCTCTGGTGAAAACTGAAATTCATGAAGCTGTGATTTATTACTATAAACATGTATCAATAAAATGGAGTGGGTGTGTTTTAATCAATACTTTGAAGAGCTGAAACATTAGAAGATGAAGACATTGGACCTCAGATATCTGTTCCATTTTTCTTGTCTTCCATCCATGGATAAACTTGTCACCTGGAGAGCTGGGAGATGGAATTGGAGGAAGGTGTGGCATAAATTTATGTCTAATAGGCAAACCACCACAGTCTGCAGATTCACTCAGTAGAATATTAGGCTTAAAATTGGCATAACTGCTTAAGAAGATCAATATAGCTTCATTGCTCTTGATAGTTCAAAGTGGGCCAAAACTAGTTATTGATGGGCCACATCTTCAGATCTTAGCAGCTGAAAGGTTTTTCTAGTGCCAGCATCATCATCCATAGTTTAATGAGGATAAAGTGAAATTTTTGCTACTTTGATATTTTGCTAATTATTCACATCTCCCAACATGGGTTTTGTTGTTATAGCACCCTTATATTATTAGCAAATAAAGGAACACAGTGTCTCATGTGCTTAGGACTCTGGGTTGGAGGTCCCGTGTTTGAGAGCTGAGTACTGCTGTGGGATAGGGTGAGTTCCTGTCCTTCATTCCACCTTCTGCTGGGGACAAGAAAAGAACACTCAGCTGGGCATCCATCGGGCAACAATGATATCACCAGCTAATCCTTTCAACCTGGAATTGCCTCCGTGCTTTTGATACAAGTACAGTGCAATTATCAGCATAAGTATTCACTATAAGACAAGGTGACAAAATGTGCATCATGATATCATGAAGCAAATCATATGAGGTATTTTATATCTATATCTATCTATATCTATATCATCTATACACACACACAGACACATATTTTCATTTGACTTCAGATTTAAGAATGAAAGCTTGGAGTTTGCAATGCGACATGCACTGTAACACATATTTGTAGCTCCTCCCCCAACCCCCTGGTTCTCCAGTTACTAGTTAACTACATGAATGCCTTCATTTAATATGATGAATAATGTTCAGTTATTAGATTTGGCATTGTGCTGTGGTTACGCTTTGTATAACAGCCCATGGTTATGTATTTAATAAGCCTAGAATTTGACGTTTCTGACTTTATATTTTATGATTAGACATAAGACTTCATATCATTAGCCTCATGCTACAAAGAATACAAATTAGCACACTTGTAACTAAAATTGCAGTTTTATTGCAAAGTAAGTTTTAACAGCAGTTGTCAGATATTTTATAATCTTTTGTAAGACAACTCCATGGTTTGTTTTTTTTAATCACCTCTTCCAATCCATATACTACTTTTGGCAATATTTAAAATATTCTACATGCACTGTTTATATGCAAACAAATGACAATTTTTTTTGCATTTATGTTTTATAAGCCTTTAAAAATTCATCTAAGAATTATTTAAATGAATCACATACTGTAGTTGAAAAGCAGATTCCAAGTTCATTCTGCTCTGAGTGTCCAATATTGATCCTTAGTTATCTCTTAGAGTCCTTTAACAAATGTTGCCCCATATCTTCAATTTAGACATCATATTTTTCATAACTCACGGCAATGCTTTTCCTAGTGTATAATATTGATCATCTCTGGTGTAATTAAATATGCTGTGATTAATCAATACTAAATGGTTTTCTTTATGGCTCTGCCACTAGGAATCTGTCCATATTGCCTGATTTTGTTAAGCAACTTCACAACCGTGGCCCTAAATAAACATTTGTAATAGGACTATTTAAAGCAATTAGACTCCTTTTTCAATACTGTCCAGAACTGTGCAGTGTGTAATATAACTGGGGGGGAGAACGGGAGAAAAAAGAAAGAGACAACCACAACACCTATGTATGCATTGCCAGAGAATGTCCAGAAAAGGGTTAAAAAAATCAACTCTGACAATAGTTGAAACAGTTCTTTACTGTGTGTTGGTTGACTGCTCCACAGGGCATAGCAGATGTTGTGTCTGGTAGTAAGAAAGGCCCAGGAGGTGTGAGCTGTCAATCACTATTTCTCTAACTACAGACTGTGCTATGGATATGAAGCAGGACTAAAACAATCTGTCTCAGCTGGGATGTGTGAGGTATCAATAACCCTTGGCAGAGGTGTCAAGAGCCTTGCTGGAATCAAACTATCCTGCTGACCAGCTGCTTAGCAAGTTAACAAGCTACCATTCACCATTCACTGGCCTCCCAGTGCAACAATTAACACAACTGGAGAATGACTCTGCTCAAATCCTTATGAATAAGCCTTGCCAAATCTTACTGTTATTACTGAGGCATGGATATTCAAGCGGAGAGATAGAAGAGAGGGAAAACGGGCCATTGAGCTGCTATTGTTGTAGAATTAAAAATATGTTTTTCATTAAAAGATGAGTGTAGTGAATCTGGCCACTGTAAAAAAAAGAAAATAAGCACAACACCAAATGTTTTGATAGTGAAGCACTGTGGAGATCTGAAACGGCAAAAGTGGCTGTCAGCAAGCATTCTACGCAGAAGCTAAATTGTCTGCATTATTAAGACAAATCATTAAATAGGCCAGCTGATCTGCTAAGCCTTGAGCAGCTTACACAACTACTTGTTACTAACAGCCGCACTGCAGTTTTGTATTGACAATGAAAAAGAGCACTCTGAACATGTAAAATGTATTTCACTTAAAGCCTATACATTTCAAAACTCAGTTTTACTCAATTTTTTCTCAGTTAAAATCACTGATGTCAACCAAGGTATTGTCTAGTTTATTTCTATCTAAATCAGTTGCATTGAATTTTGAAACAAGAAATTTTCTCTCTGCTGTACATTTGTGCCTGTCAAAAATGAAGCATTGGGGGGAAAATAGTTGCTAAATAGTAAACGTTAGGTCTGCAAATGGTTATTAGATTTTTCTATTCCATAGACTCCCAACTTGCTAAACTGTAAAAGTGGGACCTTTTCATGTATCCCTATAATGCTTCCATTAAAAAAAAAAAAAACCTAAAACAAATAAGATCCCTGAATTGTGTTTGGTAAATTAGCTGCTTAATTTATTAGTTTTGCTACTAATTCGTTAATTTTTCTGGTTTCATTAATTTTAAACAAACCTAGCATTGTTTTGCCTTATTTTTGACACCACGTGGAGCAGATAGCCCACAAGACCTCTTAGAGCTGAGTCTTTCACACAGCAAAAGGTTTTTTTTTCTACTATAAAAGCACAGCAGCTGTGGCTCCTGCAGATACTCTTAAAGGACACTATAATAAAACCCTGGGAGGGAATAGGTCGAGACAGAACCATGAAATGGACGAGATGAAGAGCCTTTGTCACAGCCAAACAGGCTGTAAAGTTACTATAGTAACACCCAGTCTTTAGCGCTAGGTGGATTGACTTAATGTTGCCTTTAAAAGATAAAGATTAACATAAGCCAAACTAATAATTATTACACATCATCTACCAACACATAAGATGCTATTGAATGCTGAATGGTGGCAGGACTAAAAACAGGTCTTCTTATTCCCATGATGGAAATGCCATTTGGATGTCAGAATCCAGGCAGAACCTTCTTTATCTGAACAGGAGGCCAGTGAAGAAAGTTTGAGGTTCAAATTCTTTTCCTTCCCCTTCTAGACTGCGTGAAACAATTTGTTTACTAAATAAGATCAATACAATTACTCGACCAAGACTGGGAAGATCAAGGGCCTATTCAACCATTAAGCTCACTGGAGAATTTGTGGTGAACACTATTGTCATGAATTCAGTCTGAAGAAGGAACATCATTGGTACCTGCTTTACAAGAAAGAGGATCCCCAAACTGTGGGAAAGCAAAGGTTTTTATAGTAATTGGACACATCCTACAGTCTGGTTTTTCTGGCCAACTGGGAGAAGTTGGTAGATCCTTGTCAGTGTACCTGGGATTAATATATTGGCATAAGCTTTCATGACCAGTATCTGTTGAGTTTCATGAATTAGTTACCATAATCCAGACAGCCTTCACCAATCTGCACCAATCAAAAACCAGTTCAATTAAAGATCCATCTGAAGTCAGGTTACCAAGCTATAAATACAGGAGATCAAGCTGATTAGGGTTTCTTACCTAGTTTCTTCTCTTCTGAAAGCTGCCTTTGAGCTGTACTGGGAGCTGGTAAAGCTTCTAGTCTTTGATCTAGGTAGACTTGTGGGGGAGGGGGAGTCTGCTAAACAAAGGGACCATCTGGGTTTGATCCTGGCCAGGTTTAAAAGATGGGAAAATAGAGAAAAGATGTATCTTCAATTTTGTGATTTTTCTCCACTACACTATTACTTGGTTAACCTTCACAAAGGAGCATTTGTTCCTGAGCTATCATGGTGCTAAACTTGTAAGCGTGAAAAAAGACAACCCATAGTCGCCCATTGAGCACTCACAGACATAAAGTATCTCCAAAATAGGGCATAAGATTCGTGCAGCATAATGATCAAGAATGTAGTGGGGGCAGAAAGCATATTTCATGTATATCAAAACCATCACTGGGCACGTAGCTAGTTATGAACAGACTCTGAAAAGATGCCAAGGAGGGATTGATTTGATTACTTGGCTTAATTGAAAAACTGCCTAGTCAGAGATCTGCTTTAGAAATGAATTTGAAACATTAAATCTAAGGAGAAGATACTAAACACAGCTTATATCCTTAGTCTTGGCTCTGAAATTTTAGGTAGGTTCCATTATTCTCTTGGGCAGCCAAACTAGTTATCAGTCTCATTCTATAGAGACTGTAATATACTTCTTATATTTGTAACATAAGGCTTTTTTGCTGCACAATGGTATTTCATTTCTAAAATGATATGTACTCTTAAATCTATTAATTGCAAATACCTCGCGTAGACCCTGAGCTGCAAATAAGTTTTAAAGCTCTCACTTCCCTCCTCTACTATTTTGAAATGCACAGATAGCATGATTTAGCTCACTATGGTCAGATTTTCAACAACCTAAGTCAGCATTTCACACACATCCACATTTTTTTTTAAAAAAAAGGTGCTTATAAATATTTGAGTGACTGTATTCTAGGCATCACTATACAATTCTTTCAATTTACACCAGTGGTTTCTTTCCTTGAAACCAATAAGGCTGCAGTGTGCCCTCTAAGGGCGAACAGAAGGCACAGCTGGTGCATCGCTTCTATGATGCTTTTTTTTTTTTTAATATAACAGCAACTACCTTCATTTCTATATTCTCCAGGGGTGCAGGAAACTCCTTTTGACATCCTGTGCAAGAGACACATGATGCAACACTGAGCTCCCTCCAACAGACACTCCCAAACCAGTCAAGATGGCTCCGAATAAGGAGTTACTGTCAACATTATTCTTCTTGAAAAAAGCAGTTTAAAAAGTGTGGCATATTTTCAGAAATGACATTTCTGCAATGATTACAGCCGTTTCTTTTACCAGATGCACCATACTTATCTGTCCTCTATATTCAATGGGATTTAATCTCAAATAAAAATGCACAGGGCAGCATGGTGCACTGAGGTACATCCAAGTCTCCGGTTGTCTCTTCTTCAGAATCTAAAAGAAAGAAATTAAATGCAGGGCATTGTGAATACATGTATCTTACTCACCTGTAAAACAACTTGTCATTAATAATAGGGCAGTGCACATTTCAAAAATGATTCAGAAGAAGAGTTTGGGGCCTCAGGTGAGCTATTTATTAAAGACGCTTGGCTTTTTTTCAGGCTTGCACACAAATCTGAAAAAAAGAAGCTGCAGCTTTAAGGGATGTATTCATTAAACCTAATGTGACTCTTAAAGCAGCAGCATTATTTTTATCATGTTCTTGTGGAAGGCTAAAAAAAAAAGAGTCAGGCTCTTTTATGAATTGCAGAAAGGTTGTTACGTTCCAACAAGATCCAGAGGCCTTCTGCCAAATCATTTTCACAGCCCCTAATGTCTACATTCAAATCTAACCTAATATAATAGTTTAAATTAAAACAATTCAAAAATCAAACATCATTTGCATGTTCTATTACAAAATACAAAATATGGAAAAGGTGTTTGTTTGGCTACTGTGTGATATTTGAGCACCTTTTGTGGAAATTGCTGTCACCATTATCGTTTAAACAAATTATGCCATTACAAAACAACAATGAATATTACTTATAATGTCCATCTAATCAGGCCAAAATGAAAATCACAATGTATATTCAATGATGAACTTATAATGTATAATAATGTTTACTAAAGAATTAATACGGAAATATTTCTTATTAAGGTGGAACTGAAACTGGAAGAATAATTCGAAGCGATAAGTAATAGATTTAATCATCCAGGCATATTTGGAGAAAGTGAAACTACACTAACAACAATTAGAGAAATAAATTTGACAGAATAAACTAGCCTCTAAATAAAACAAAATTTAATATCTTGAGACTATTCTGAAAGAGGAACTTGGAGTAGAACTGATCTTAATTGGATAACAAAAAAGGAATCTGTACATCAGTGGCATTTATTTTATTTTTTTGGTGGTCAAAGCTTCCTTGTTTTGGGAAGCCTCTTTGCCTTTTAAATGATGTTAACCCTATATAATAAGGCACGCACTTTAGTTTTCATGTGTTTTTCTTGTACCAAAATGGTGAGAAAAAAATCACCAGTTCTAGTAATTTTCAAGGATACTTTAGCATGATTAAATATATTATGATGCATGTCCACATGGAACAGAGCTCGTATTGCAATATTTGGAAGATACCTGTGGAGCATTGATTTAGCAATATACAGCAGGAAGGCAGAAATTGGCAGATAGGATTCCAACAGGAAGTTCTCCTCTGCTCAGCTTTTGGTAAGGTGTAGCAAACAGCATCTTAGGAAAAAGGAGGAGCAGCAAGCTAGCCCTACTGAAGGCTTGTGGTTATGCTAGGGACTGAGCCTAGAGGCTGAAGAGTAGCAGCAGGAATGGATCTCTTGCTGTGGGAAGTTCTGGATCTATTGGTTAACTTTCACCACTTGTGCTCAAGAACCAAATGGTACCTAATTTAGATACTTGAGTCACATGCAAAATATTGATCTGTCCATCAGTAAAGATGTTTTGCATAGCTAATTTCTGTACCGTCAATCCATCAAGTCGATTTTCTTAAACTACTTTGACAAGTTAATGTTACATACTTTAATATTTTTTTTGGGGGGGGGGATAATGTTTTGGCAAGATTCTAAAAATACTAATAACTATAGTGTACATACTGCACATTAGGGCTCAGCACTGCTTTGCAATCAAGATGAAAGAGGCATACAAATGTACTCCCATAGCCCCTGTCAGCAACTGTGTCTTTACTTGGGATTGCATGGTTGCCCTCTTTAAATGCATTTTATTTATTTTATCTACCCTGTTTTTCCCCAAAATAAGACCTCCCCTGATATTAAGCCCAATCGGGCTTTTGAATGCATGGCAATAAGGCCAAGCACTTATTTCAGGGTTCAAAAAAATATAAGACAGGGTCTTATTTTCAGGGAAACATGGTATTAATTAAATTCATTTGCATCCATCTCATCATGATGTGACTCTAGACGACTCACAATGCTAACATTTCTTGGTTTAAAAAATTATACATAGATGTACCTCCATGCTCTGAAATACTTTCTTTTCTTTTTTTTTCTTTTTGCCCTTAAATCTGACCCCCTGCACAGCTCTATGAATTTGGGAGATGCTTTTGGTTAAAATCAGCTTTGGAAGTTTTTCATAGGAGTGTGTATGAATGATGTCAATGCATGGAAGTTTGGGACAATATTTGGAATTGTATAATCAAAAGCTTTGTATAGAATTGTACAATTATACACAGAATTGTATAATCAATATTTGGTTGATATTTGGTTTAATCAATCGAAAGCTGCAAAAAATAGGGATAGATCTAGGGTGCAAAACTTTGTGTGATTATGAGTTGCTGGTAAATAGTTAGTGCTCAACAGGTAACACAAGGCTGTTATTTTGGGTCAAGCTATGCCAGTATTCTCTTCTGCATGTTTTAGTAATTCTCATTCAAAGTTGTCTGAACCGTGAGATGGGTGGCAAATAAATTTGGTAAATAAAACTTCAAGCTGATCAAAAAAGGCATGGCTACTCACAAGGTCTTTTCCTCAAGGAGAACGCAATGTCAGAGAAATTTTCATGGAGGACAGTTACCTTTACTTTAAATGGCCGGGGTGGGGGGGGCTGGCTAGATAAGAAGCTTACATGTTTTTGTAACATCTCTGCCTTGGCTTCCTACACATTTGTTAGCTCTGGAAGGAAGACATCAGGGGATTCTTCCTTTCTCTTGAGCATTCTGAAACTAGGAAATATACAAATAAGTAAGCATTGTCCACCAACTCATCACAATAAGATCAAAAACACCATCCCATATAAAAATAAAAAAAAATAGTTTTCACAGATACAGTAGAAACTCTAGATTTGGTACAGTATTAGTTTAATGTATCCTAGAAGACCATTTCTAGCATGATTGTTCCCTCACAATGATCTAATGTGGGGGGAAAAAAAAACCTCAGAAGGAATTGTTGATGAACATCTCAGAGGGTACGAGCACCAGAAACTCCATGTATGTAGGTATACTAAGTATTCAATGCTCAGGACTAAGTGCTAATCAGTCCTTTAGTTGTAGGAGATGATCTTCTGGATCAGGCTAATATGATAAAGCAAGTAAAGGCCAAGGAAAAAATTAGATTGCTTGAATAACACCCAAGTATATCAAATGAGATGGACTGGGGCCAAGAATATGTTTCTGAATCTCTAATAAATAGTTAACAATGAGGTGAGGGTTGCATTTTTCCCATAGTCATCACAAGCTTCATGATTTATCTTTGAATGTGACACAGCTATTTCTCCATATTAATATTTTATGTTTAATCATAAGGTATCTTACCTTTTGGACAATGTCGTGTGAAATATTTTTTTAAAAATACCATGACATATGCATTTCTTTGTCGTTAGGAAGAAGAGAATAAAAGAAGTTACAGCAGTTGGCAGCTTGTCCCAGATTGTAACCAACTCCCAGCCTAGCTCCAATAGCAAAATGCACTTAGAGTTCCAGCTAAAAACATTTTCCCCAAACATTTTCTTTGTGTGAAGAACTAATCATAACATATGAATGATATCAGAAGCACAAAATGATTCTTACCATTCATTACACAACCAACCACTGTAGTATCTCCAAAAACAGCATGTTGAGTGCAGTAATTGTTAGTGAGTGGATTCCCTTACACCTTGTGTGTTCAGGGAATCAAAATCAAGTATCAAAAGAGCTTTGCTGAATTGAGACCCATTTCAAACAGGCCATGTCCTTCCTATTTAAACACAGCCACCATAATGATTATTATTTTTCTATTTTATTATTCTGCTTTCCTTTTATTATATTCAATGTATGATTCATATAAAATGGATTTTTGTTTTTAATTCAAACCAGTCTGCAAGTTCTGTGAATGCATAAATAGTAAGCTAAATGATGAAAGAAAGTTAAAGAGTTTTATCTGAGCTCACAGGATGCTGTGAGTCCCTTGGGAGCTGGGCGGCATAGAAATGCGACAAAATAAATAAATAAATAAATAAATAAATAAATAAATAAATAAATAAATAAATGCTGCATCCTCCATCACGGCTCCCATTCATAATACTGAACTGACTTAGCTGTTATGTTATGAAATAATACTTTCTAGGCTTTAGACATAGTCAATTTAGGTCCAAGTTTAAGAAAGAACAAAACAAAAGCATTACTAATCGGAAGAAGATGAACAAGGGCTGGAAATGGAAATTTAGGCTTAAGGTTAGGGTTGGGAGGAACGAGGGAGGGAAAATGCTTGGAATTCTTATCTATGTAAAAATGTCATTCTATCTTTCATCTTGAATCAAATTTTTAGTTGATGGCAATATACTAGAGCTCTTTTAATGAGAGTTTTCCTCTCATTAATTGTAGTTATATCTTCTCTGTGAATTATAAATTCTTTTACTGATTACTTTTATGCTGCCCTTTGATTATTGTTTTCAGCTCGGAGCCTCTTTGGTAAACCTATTTTGTACTAAGTGAATAATTAAATCATAAACTCTATCACTTTTGCTGCCCTCTGGATATTTGGGACATCAATTCCCACAATTCTTTGCCTGTGGTAATTGATGGAAATTGAAGTCCTAAATCTCTTTGGAGTATCTTAGGTTCCTTATTCTGATTTAATGGCACTGTCTAATTTTTGGTTTTGTGGAACGTTGCAGATGCCACTTAACTATTATTATTTTACAGAACGTTCAATTGTTACAGCCCATCACTTTTTAAAAAGCATTCTCTTTGCAAGAATCCACACAATACAATGCAAATCACCGTCCATTAAAAAAAAAAAAAAGTAAAGCATTAAGACCAAAAACAGGAGCATGCATACAACTTGAAGGTGAAGGTATTGTAGCAAAAGCTGCTAGAATACAGCATTACACAACTCTGTCTCTCCCTCTTTCATGTTCATGCTCAGAGACACCCTGCATATAAAGCAGAGGTGAGTTTCAGCAGGTTCTGACCAGTTCTGGAGAACCGGTAGCGGAAATTTTGAGTACAGTTCGGAGAACCAGTAATAAAAATTCTGACTGGCCCCACCCCCATCTATTCTCTGCCTCCCAAGTCCCAGCTGATTGGGAGGAAATGGAGATTTTACAATATCCTTCCCCTGCCATACCCACCAAACCATGCCATGCCCACCAAGCCACACCCACAGAACCGGTAGTAAAAAAATTTGAAACCTACCACTGATATAAAGGTAAAAAGATTTTATGAAGAAAAATAGAAAAATATGATAAACATAAGACATTAGATTGAAGAAAATATAATACTGCGTGGAGGAAATAAACTATTTAGAGAATAAATGGACATGTGCCAGAATTTTTGATCTAATTTAAAAATAATCTTTTAATATTTTCTAAAATACCAGAAAGTAAGCAAGCTGGAAATTATCTTGTCCTAACACATACACTTAAGCAAGTAAGAAGGTAATAATCTTGCCTCATGCATATACTTGCGCTTGGAAATTATGTTCTGAAATGGAAGGTGAGGTAAAAATTTTCTACCACAACCTCCTCTATAAGACAACAACCTTTTCTTATTTCCGTGGGATTTTCTTTCACTCTCGCTGGCTTAACGTCCCGTTGCATGAACAAAGAAAATACCAGACAAAAAGGGCTGCAGGCTAGCTCCTTCCAAAAGGATTCGACCTTCGGAATACTATCAGTATCAACCAGTACACCCACATGGTTAGCACTTTTTAATACATTCGCTGAAAGCCATTAATAAAGCAACAGTCATAGTTCTTAACCATGTGTCACACTGAAATAAGTTCATGTAAATCTGTGAACTGTACGACAATGATCAAATTAACAGTCATTTCAGGGGGAAAAAAATGCCCCTCGGGCTGAAAAATAATTAGTAGTCTCTCACTCTTTTCTTACTAATAAAATCACGATATTATTGTTGACTGCGCTAATAAAACACCTTCTGTGACCCTGATGTAGTGGTGCAAAATCATGAGCAACTCCATTGTGTAGATCTCACACCTATTTTACTTGATATTTTTAAGGGCTTGTTTTTTGATTTTTTTTTTTAAAAAAACCCTATCTTTGGTGGCATTTGATTGTCAAATGTAACTTCTGCTTTGCTTTTATTAAAGCATATGTTGAAAGAAATATCAGTTTCTGCCATGCTCTCATTAGCTTAGATTAATGTTTACATGGAGCTGGTTGGGTGAGTGGGGGTTTGGGGGGAAGGGAGGGATTTAAAAAAAAATCTTGCCTACAGTTGTACTGAAGAATTCTTTCTTTTTTGGTTTTTATTTTAGTGGGGAAATACAATTCTATCATCTCTAGGAAATGTCTTATATCGTGTTTGTTAGTACTCACCAAATTCATACAGTGAACAATAGTTCTGCTCACTACAAGAGAACTGAACACCATTGCTATTAAGGTTTATATTGAACAAATAAATGAGCCCAATTTCACAAATTATACAGAAATCCTATTGAGTACATCAAGTTATACCTGTGTTAAACAGCAACCCCACATCCTTTGAGACAGAAGTTTTATAGATCTATTTGTCACGCTCACTTCTTACGTTTTAGGGAGTGATTGTGAAACATCACAGACCTACACTTGAAATAGCATAAATGTAAACTAAAAAATACAGCAAGTGAAGTGAGTCAGGCAAAGAAGATTGTACAAGAAGTTGACTAAGAAAATACTTCTGGCTTTTCCAGAAGATGGCAATACATAATAACTCTTGGACAAGATCAGATACTTCCTAAAACAACTGTTTTCAATTGGAAGAGATTTAATTGATTGATTGATTGATTGATTGGAGAATATATAGAAAAAACAGTCTGAGGAAACCTGCTAAAACAGAAGCATTTTAATGGTTTATTGGTCCTGCGGATAGCTAATAAAAAGGTTATTAATACATCTCCAGGAGTAAAGTCCATGCACTTTTGATTTCTTAAGAGGGGCATCCTAAACAACCCCTTTCTACTTTATCTCAAAGCAGAGGAGATTCTGCCTGGAGGAGATGATCTTTAATAGCCCAGGTATGATGCTTGCAAATTTCTTAACACCCACATCACTCATTCTAGCTGCTAGGTAATTAATACCCTGAAGCTCAATGCAGAAGAGAATTGAATGGAAACTTCTCTTCATTTGGCCTTTCCACCTCTCTGGATACAGCTTGCAATTGTATTTGCTTTGCTTTGCAATATTGCCTTGTGATCCACCAAGACTTGCTGTGGTACAGACAAAAGTCTGATCCTTTTGTGTGTACTGCTGCCCAGCATCCATCCCAATAGGTACCTATGGTTTTGATTTTTCCAACACACTTTGCATTTGTTCCTATTGGAATTCATCTAACTGGTCTTGTCCGTTGTTTCAGTTTGTCAAACACCACCTGAATCTCGATGCTGCCTTCTATGTCCCCTTGTCTTTGAGTCACTGGTAAATTTGATAATCATTTTTTTAACATTACCCACCAAGGTTATTTATAATGAGCAGTATAAATATGTAGAAAACGTTGCCCTCTGCAAATAATTCCTGATTCTGATTTAGCGTTCCCTAATAACCTGAAGAGTGGACAGGTTTGCCTCTAACCCTTCACCTTTTCTTGCAGGAAAGCAATCAGACTGCACTTGCAGCATGTGTAGTTCTTGCCATCTTCAGATAGGAAAATAAACATGTCATGTCATGATAGATCTTAAGAGCATTCTCAGAGATACACAAGGGTGGTTGTTTTTTTTTTTTTTTCACTTTGAAGTTATCCCCTGGAGATTTGGCTGAAAAATGCCCACCCACAATACCTGATTGGCTGTCCTTAGCTTGGTTTCTCAGATT